ATATAAGTCTGCAGACATGCCGCTGTGCAACTGGGGGGTATGTTGAAAGGCAAAATGAACTACAGTATTCAGAATTAGAATTTGTTTCATTGAAGCATCAGAGGCTTAAAAAGTCTCCAGTGTGGAGAATCTTTCCTATAAACATAATATTTCTGGGATATTCAAGCAAGTAACAAATCTCACCGTAATTTAACTCTTTATCATGACTTATAAGATTCTGACCCAAGTCTACAAGGCTATGAATAGATTTATCTATTTTTAATTCTTTATCAATAATCTGAAGTTTATGGTCCAACTGTGCCATGCAATGAATAAATAGATTTAATTATCTAACATTAATTGCAAATGTATGTCCCAACTAGTTAATATTATGAATGAATTTATCTAGATTTGATTTATCAGTAACGTCTGCATAACTTGCGTTGGTATCAAGCTACGTAGAAAGTTGAAACGTTTTCTAAGAGCCTCGAATTAAACTTGAAGTTAATTGTAAGATAACATCAGTTGAAGATGATGAGAGAGTGTGAGAAAGCTACTGGCCTTTGGTCAGTTTCAGGTGGAAAGTCAGAAAGAAAGGAGCCTGCTGTGTGTGGATTTGAGAAAGAAATATAAAAGATAGTAGTTCAACGAAAAGAAAAAGGAGAAAACCTGGAGATGTGAGAGGGAACGAATAAACTGAAAGAGGCGAAGGAAGAAGGTAATATATTGCCAGTAAGAAACAAAACTTTTAACGTCTATATGTTGATATAGTAAATAACAGCAATTTGTTATTTTTACACTGGCATGAGTCAATTCCTGACATAAGTAAAATCAAAATAAAGTAAATGGACATAAGAAGGGAAAGTGAAGTGCGAGACAAGCACGATCGTAACAAACAGGACTTGAACCTGTAAAGCAGCTCTAACAATAGGAAGAGCATGCTGTCAAGGTTAATAAAATAATTCATGACTTCTATCAAAACCGACAAGGAGAAGAGAGTTACTTGAAAAAGGAGAAACTTATATTTTTATGGTTCTTATCTACTGAAGGAGCTGAGAGATCATACCTTTCTAAGTGTCTTAAAGCCTTTATCATCTTCTTACAAAGTGAGCCATTGTGTGAGAATAATACTTATCAAGAATAAAATCTATATCGTTTAGTTAAAAATATTCAATTCTCCGTATTGTTTAATCAGCACTTTTGATCAATTTAAAGTTCTTCTTGTTTCAGATATTCACGCAAAGCAATACAACGGTTATATGCGATAACAATCCCTCATTTTGAACTCGTAGTCTACAGCGAAGGCAGCTAGCCAACAGCACCCACCACCGACTCATGAGATACTCTAATTGGATAGTGAGATTTCACTGTCACTCTTATAACGCGATTTTATTTTTCAGCAACTGGATGCGAACCATGAACCCTCGGGTCCACAGTCCGGCCCATAATCTATTAAGAGTCTTTATGTAGTTACCTTCTGTTTTTGTTTATAAGCTTCTTCAATTAGTTGTCCCTCTGTAATTTTTAGCCATGATTTTCAAACAGTTCATTCTCCATATTTATTTTTGTTTCTTCGAGTAGTTGCTATTTTATTTCGTCATTAGCATATTCAAGGATTTATCTTCAACCAATTTTATTCTGTAATTTTCTGTATTCAACAACTTTAATTCGTTGATCTTCATTATTCTTTAGTCAACGTATTTAAGATTAGTTAATATTCTACGTCAGAGAGTTAAAGTGTTCTGCAACAATTTAATTGCTTCTCTTGTATAGTTTCATCAGCACTTTCAATCTGTTATAAATCTTTTGGAACATGCCAAGTGGAAAAATTAATGGTTTACATCCATCAAAGAGTGAAATAGAATCTGACGTGGTTTCTTCATCGAATAAAATAACTCTTCTTTTGTCTTGAGTTGGCTGTTTCCCATTCAAAAACTTTACGTTTTCACTTCACTCAATGGATCAAACTGTTCCTCTCCTATTAAAGTCCGAATTAAGTTAAGTATTCTCTGTGTTTTATCTAAATCTGGAAGAAACATAAACTTTTATTGCCTTGTGATAATAATAATAATTACCATACTTATAAGACCGTGTCTGTACAATTTCAAAATAATTTGCATTCCATCTCAACGGCCTTAGGTTCAAAGTTGGTGGTAATAGTTTAAATTACAATTGTTTTGAAATAATTAAGTTTGCCTTAGATTAAAGTTTTAGCGAAATAATTGAAGAATGTGTTCAAAGTAAAACCTATATCTTTTAACAAACTGTTTTTGTGTTTTTTTTTTTTTGCTTGTGTTTTGCGAAGGATGTTGCCATTCAAGGTTGTTGTTTCTTCTTGTTGTTGTTTAATGGAGTTTGCTGAACACCTGTTAAATGTATATACAGTTTATTTTTGAAGGTTCTGAAAATTTATTAAATAAAGACTCTTTAGGCCAATTGGACAATCCTTTGGAGTGTCTTTAATGCCTTTTGAAGAAAAGACGTGTTGCTATTTTATCTGTGTCTATTTCTCATCAATCGTATGTGACTAGATGAAGTGAGTTTTTTGTTTTGTTTACATTATAAAACCATAGATAAGCAAAATATACTGGTTGTTGAGGCATTTGCAGTGATGACCAGACTGATCTGTGCAACGTTAAGGATGATGCTCTGGCCGTTATAGAAACGAAATCCTAGCAATCATTGCCAGGATCTTCCCGGGTTCTCATTAGGTCGTGATTTCATTTACTTGAACGATAATAATCGATCCTTGGAGTGACAGATAAATATTATAAAAATAGATTGGCCATCATTTCCATCAGATCTCAGCCCACATCTGAAATCAGCTGAGATACCTCTTGTTGAAGTGATAAAGAAATGTCCTCCAGTACATAGGATGGCGTGACGTTCTGGTAACCACTCTACCTTCTCTATTAAGGTCCATGGGTAAAAACATTCTGATTTTTGATCTTTCACAAACATGGTGTTTCTGAAGACACGCCAGTTGCCCTTTGTGTAATAGTTTCAATGCCTGGCGCATTACGATTTCACTTTAAAAAGACAACATATATGCGGATATATTTCTTCTTTTGTGGTTTACGAGTTATAATTCAAATACTTACAACATTTAGAATTATCCCAATAATTTGTTGTCTCATATTTTCTCTTGTCTTGTGCATGTCATACAGTTTGCAAACATTGCTATTGTGTGTAATATATATATAAAGCACAAAAAATCTGTGTCTGTCTGTTTGTCCCTTATCTAAGCACTCCTACGTCGCTGGACTAACCTCAACCAAACTATGTGGGTTGATAGTTTGAAACAAACGGCATGTTAATGGGGTTTCATGACAGCCCTCACCCCCCCATTATTGCTGTTATTGAGCATTTGTTATCTTTGACGTAAGTTAACGTTATCTACATTCATAGATGGCACCACGTCCTTACACCAGAACAAATATATATATATATATAAAACTTCCTACAGCACAACATACAGTGTGAGGGCGGCCACACAAACGTCTTACATATCTGAGAAAGAGTGCTAACACTCTCTATGGAGGAATCCAATAAGAAAATAATATGACCGCCACTATTGCAATAATACATAAACTCAGCTGAAGTTTCTACTCCAACAGCCACTATAAGGCTGATATCAAAAGTCGTTTCTTGAGTTATACCTACTTTCTACTTTGACCAGTGACCTTTCAACTTCGGCCCGTAAGATATTTCTGCGACCAATGATCGTCAATTAATTAATCACGTGATATGCTGTGGAAGGACATTAAGAGATGGGTGTTGAAAGCGGGTAACAGAAAGCACACCTACTACCACTAATTTTTCCGCTACCTCTTCCTACAAAGTCATCATGACCATCGCACAGTGTATACCATGGTTTAAGTATTTACATATTGATTTATTAGTATCACAATAACGAACTTCTGGTGAGAAATACAAAGTTGACAACAATACATCTATTGTGTTATCCTTGATGAGAAAACACTAGTATCACAACAACGCATCTCTATTGTCATCCCTGGTGAGAAATACCAATGTTGCAACAATACATATTTTATTTTGTCTCTCTTGATAAATATTATTATCACAACCATACATCTCTTGTATTGTCCCTGATGATAAAATACTAGTATCACAACAATGCATCTCTATTGTTATCCCTGGTGAGAAATACCAATGTTGCAACAATACATATTTTATTTTGTCTCTCTTGATAAATATTATTATCACAACCATACATCTCTTGTATTGTCCCTGAGGATAAAATACTAGTATCACGATAATGCATCTCTGTTGATGCTTCTGTTGAGAAACACTAGTGACCAAAAACCAAATTATTATACAAATACATGATATGTTCCTCCTGTCGCAGTTATATCGTGCATTAGCCAGAAACCATAACTAGCATTATGAGAAAAGAGGTGTCTTTCAGCATATCCAGACATTATTCTTGCGTTGTCCTCCTAATGAGGGACAACAGTACCAGAACAGTACATTTCAGGTTTTATATAAGTAAATATGCATGGTAGAACATGTACTCATAACACGTAAACGTTTGTATACATCTATATATGTGATCAAAATTTAAAATATTCCTCATTACTATTACTGGAGCTGTTGTTTAAGGGGGATTGAAACATGACATCTGGCGACATATAAATAGCTTTTATTTCTGGAATTGATATAACTTGTCTGCGTTTATTGCAATATCTTTGGCTTAGATATTTTTGTCTCTTCCCCAAACTTCTTAAATTTTTCTTTGTGCTACACTTTTTTGTTTCCTATTGAGTACAGATTCGGTTGAATATGGACAAGTAAGATCATTAAATCATCAATCTTATTGTAGACAATTTATAAAGCGTTTGTTATCTAATGTAGAGTTAGTTGCAGACACATTATTGCTAGTTCATTTGTTGTAGAGAGGTCTAAATATGTCTCATATTTCAATTTAAGAACAGTCTAGCACTCAGAGAGTTGGCTGTTAATTTATCTGTGCTTTACGTTCCATCGTCTACGTGTTTCAGGAGCTGGTGTCGTCAGGACAGGATGGAAGGAATTGGCGAGGGATCGTAATAGCTCTTCTAGTGATTGTCATCGTCTGTGCACTCATTGTGACAGCCGTGTTTTTGCTCAGTCCAGGTAGATTATTTTAACATCAATCTTCACTGAACTTTCATTAGGTCAAAGATAAATCTAGATACAAAGAAACGAATTTTGAATTTATAGATTCATTAATAATGTCGAATAATTTATGAAATTATTACGTTTCAGAGGGTTTCTTGAATATTCGAGTGATTTTTCATTAAAGTTCATATCGGTTTGTGTGTTTACTTGCAATCAATAAATACGATTCCTTTGCACTAATTCTAACACGATGGAGGTTTGATAGTGTACTAAATTATTGGGATTAGGTGACGTAACTCCGAATTTTTTTTACCATAGTATAAATAATCAACTTTACCTTTATCATTTAAACTTGTTGTTGAGGGAGTTTTTCTATCACAACGGATGCTGAAAAATATCAACTTCAGATGATAAATCTTGTTTGTCCAATCCAGAATGGACACAGTGTGGTTGAAATACTATTATGCACTGTTATTATTCTCGTTTAAATTTTACAACAGGGTGATATAGTGTTAAAGATATAATAAACCTAATAATAATGTCTAATAATTTAGTGTTTGTATTCTAAACCCTTGTTCTTTATATAGAGTTCTTATATGTTTTTTTTTAACCGTGAATGCTCATTTTATGCTCCTCTAGCAACACCTGGTGGTAAAATTAATTAACTGTTATATTGAGTCTTCTCTCAAGTTGTTCAGTTGTTATTGTTTTTATTATTTGGTTTAGCAGAAATTCTTCATAGCTGGATCTTCGTTCTTCTTCATTCAGCATCAACATCGTTTCGATACAGACCTTAATTTAAAGCAATGAATCTGTGTTTGGGGTTTAGATGACTAGTCTGATCCGTGTTTGGGATTTAGATGACTAGTCTGATCCGTGTTTGGGGTTTAGATGACTAGTCTGATCCGTTTTTGGGGTTTAGATGACTAGTCTGATCTGTGTTTGGGGTTTAGATGACTATTCCGATCTGTGTTTGGGGTTTAGATGACTATTCTGATCTGTGTTTGGGGTATAGATGACTAGTCTGATCTGTGTTTGGGGTTTAGATGACTATTCTGATCTGTGTTTGGGGTTTAGATGACTAGTCTGATCTGTATTTGTGGTTAAGACGACTATTCTACTGCAATACAACATCATTTATTTGCAATTCTATTCTCCCCCCCCCATGACTCAGCGGGAGATCTGAAGGATTACGACGCTCAAAACCCGGTTTTTAATACTCGCACAGCACAGATAACAAATTGTGTAACTTTGTAGTTAACAACAAACCAACCTTTATATTTTAGCATTGTTTCCTTAATTTTTTTTTAACTTTTAATCATTTCGTTTTCCAATGCTGCATTACGACAGAGAGTATTCATAGAACACCGTGTAGTTAAAAGGAAAACGAGTAAATAAATATTTGTTTTAAACGCAAAACTAAACAGTTTATTGAAACCTAAATATTAACATTGTACTCCCCCAAGCTGACAGCTCAGCCACTCGGAAGCATAAACGATAATAATTGGTGCGTAGTGTTTTTATTTATTTTTTTCATCTTTCTTTACACTGGTCCATGCCTAATGTAACGTTTTTTTAAAACTGGAACATTTCTCATCAGTTTTAATAATCAGAAATCATTTTCACGCACTTTATCTGTGGTTTTTAATTTTTGCCCCGAGCTACTGTGTCTCTTCTCACTACACTGTTGTTGTTTTTATTCATACAAATAGATATAAATTGTTCAAATTGAGAAGCTGCGAAAAGAAACCAAAATAAAATAAATAAAAGTAAGATCTTTCCGTGCACGTGCCTTCGAAATCAAATGATAGAGGAGCACACAGTTATCGATCTTAGCATTGATCAGATATGAAGTTTACAGGTAAAAATGTTCTCACAATACGCTTTCATTTTTCCCTGTTCGACACACGTTGCAGGTCCTTTTTTATTTGTTAAATTCAATACTTTAGTGTTTGTTTGAAAAATAACCAAAAACATCATCCAATATTTTTTCTTACTCGTTGTCTATTTGAATATCCGCCTAACTAATTACGTTTTTAATTAAATATATATGTACCTTGTTTTTCTTAGACTTAAAGAAACGCAAAGAAAGTTTGTCTTCTGCTATAACCTATACGTTTATTTTCTTCGTTATTTATATAATGAATAAGTATGTGTTGATGTTATCTGATTCTATTAACAGGTAACATTAGTAACAGAATAAAAAATCCTAGACTGAACTTTCTGGAAATATTGGATGGCAGGTTAAAATCTAGAAGATTTAACGGCACGTGGATATCCGGTAAATATATATCATTTTGTTATTCTTTAGTTCAGCTAATGCGTTTAAATAAATTAGTAAGTTTACATAGACGAAAAAAAAATTTGAAAGTTTCTCTTTGATAGATACACAGATAGATTTTATTTGATTTCCGTCTTATATTGTTGTAAAATAAATTATTTCCCCGAAATAGAATTGTTTTAACCACTCGCACCACTATACAGTAATGTGTTGTCTGTCAATCAGTCAGTGGACACTAAAATGACGTCACAAAAGAAGCGCTTAACGTTGCAATTTGTACTGTCATGACGTCAGTAAAACTTGCGCGTGCTACAAATCACGAGAAGAATTATGCACTCTGTAGACTACGACACAGCATGAAATATGAACTTCAAAAGCATGAAATAAAAATATTTGTTACTCTTAATTTTGGTTTTATTTACACTTGAAACAGAACATTTTCGGGGATCCAACGGTAGTACATCTAGTTTTATATTTCTTGAACAACCCTTTTTTTATTATTATTATTAACAGTACACTGAGAGTTAAGTTGTCTAATAATTCTATTGCGGTAATTATTTCTATTATGAACTTATACACTCCAAATGCCCATTTGTTGGAAATATCACAACTCGGAGAGAACATCAAAAAATTCCTTTTCTGTTACAACTGTATAAAAATTATAAATAAATCGCCGACAAACAGAAGTGTTTTTGTTATACTTTTTTTTCACAATTGTAAGAAAAATTATCGTTAAATCTCTTGTAAAGGATTACAACAATCCTTATACGTAAAATAAAAAAAAATAATATCAATTTATTTCTAGTATTTCATAAATTCATATATGTTTACTGTATACATCAATATTTGTTTTGCTTTTCCAGGAAAAGAATTTATTTACCGAGATTCTGATGGAACTCTTCTTTTATATAATGTTGAAACTGTAAATAAAACACTGCTCATGGCCAATACAACTTTCGTAAGTAATCTTTGAATACGATTTTCCCTTTTTTTATACCTCATTATAGGAAATGTTTACATTTTTAATCCGTTAGAATTCGTTTTTCTTCCCAAGAAAGATCAGTAACAAAGGAACTTTTTATACGTCGAGTTATATCTACGACTGGATGGTTTGTCTTGCTTTGTTTTATTCTTGCTCCTAAGCAGATTATATTAAAATCGTTAAGAACTTAGAGTTATGTATATGTTTTTATGGGAGCAGAGTGGTAAGAGTTGGAAGATGGAATTGATGATCAACTTGCAGCTCTTCTTCTTAAAGACACACAGCACTCATCTTTTCAGATGATTGATGGACTTTTTATTGTCCACGTCTTGTATGAGAATGAATCCCTTAAGGTGTTCTGATTTTTATTTCCAAGTATGGTTGAGTTTTTGTTTCTCTGATGCCTTAAGGGCGAGGCACAGCTCTTGCATTCTGTCTGTTTAATCTATAGTTGCGTGTTGTTCTTTACTAGCACGTCATATTGTTTGAAAACAGTTACGTAATTAGGCTATATACATGAATAACCTTCGAATAAAGAAGTCCAGATAAGTTAACTCTGTTGTTAAATGCACTGTGTAAAACACCATCTTATTTTGAAAACAGAGAAACAGAAATTAGCGTTTGCAGAGTATAACTCGAAATTTGTTTCTTTTGCTGTAAACTCACTCCAGCAATTTTTAGGGTAGGTTAGTCCAGATAAGAAAACAGGGTTAAAATTGCTTGCAATCTTATAAGTTTCATCACACATTCACCTTAAAATCATACTAATGCTTCGTTGTTATTCACCCTGTTTTAACACTGTCTTTTAATAGATGTTTTTTACTTTTCACAGAGGCTCTATGATGTCCATGCCTACAGCTTATCGGCTGACAGAAAATATGTTTTGCTTGCGTATGCTATTAGAAGGGTAAGTGGTCTAGTCTTCTGGTAACTAAGAAACAATGTGTTTTTCTGGTAACTAAGCAACAATGTAGTTTTTCTGACAACTAAGAAACAATGTGGTTTCCTGGTAACTAAGCAACAATGTTTTTTTCTGGTAACTAAGCAACAATGTAGTTTTTCTGATAACTAAGAAACAGTGTGGTTTCCTAGTAACTATGTCAGAATTTGTATGTTCAGGAATTTTATTATGTGCTTTTCTTAATTACCTAATTTCACGTTACCTTAGCCTACGACTAAAAAAAATAGCATTGCATTATAAAACCACCTTCGACACAAAATATGAATTAGTGAAATTATTCTAGATTTACAAATAAAATTTTATTTATTCTCCAAGACAGCTTCGAGAAATCCTCCTTCGTCAACTGTAACGTCGACATTTCGAATAACATTTTTTTTAGAAATTTATAACAGTTTCATTAATTCCATTGCTTAGAAGGTTAAACAAATAATGAAAGCAAATGTTTAAAATATTCTAATTCCTTTCCTTATAGCCCCCTCCCCAGTGGCACAGCGCTTTGTCTGCGGATTTACAACGCTAGAAACCGGGTTTCGATACCCGTGGTGGGCAGAGCACAGATAGCCCATTGTGTAGCTTTGTGCTACTTCAAACAAACAAACAACTCTTTCCTTATAGTTGCAAGATAAGCAATAAGCCTATTGTTATGATCTCCATATTTCAAGTTAAAACACAAATGTATTCCCGCGTCTTCTTTCTGTTGGATAGTAGTTTCTGGTTCTGTTCTCATCCTGTTTCTAGAAGAGTTTTCATAAATAAGATATGTGTTAATATATGAAAAATCTATCTATATATATATAATTGTTACTGTATATATTTTTCAGTTTTTACTTATATAAAGACATATGTTTAACTTAGTAGCACATAAAACAAAAGAGAACAGGGCCGACGCTAGGGGGTGCTGAGATGGGCCTTGCACCCACACGTTTTACTCTTATCTACCCAAATTCATTCTCTCTATCCGTTTAGAAAATAATATTATCAATTTATAAAAATCTTGTGATTTTTTTTAATCGCTAAGAGGAGTCAGCAGAAGTTCCACTGGGCCCACTCCCTTAAGGGAGAGGAGCTGGAGGAGCCGGGCTTGAAAGAGAATGTATGTTTCTTATCCAAAGTTCCACTGGGCCCACTCCCTTAAGGGAGAGGAGCTGGAGGAGCCGGGCTTGAAAGAGAATGTATGTTTCTTATCCAAAGTTCCACTGGGCCTACTCCCTTAAGGGAGAGGAGCTGGAGGAGCCGGGCTTGAAAGAGAATGTATGTTTCTTATCCAAAGTTCCACTGGGCCCACTCCCTTAAGGGAGAGGAGCTGGAGGAGCCGGGCTTGAAAGAGAATGTATGTTTCTTATCCAAAGTTCCACTGCTTAATCCAAGTGTTGACATTTTGTATCAAAACAAAACGACACAAAGTAATTGAATCAACAAATTATAATAACTTTTGTTTCCTTTTTACAGAGATTTAGATATTCGTATACAGCGAAATACAAGTATTTTGACATCAGAAACTAGTAAGTTTAATTTCACGCCTATCGTGTAAGTGTAAGAAAATGTTTCTTTTCAAAAATATAAAATATAAGAATTGTTTTTTCGTCTTACAGCTTATTTAACAAGGATTAACGTAGCATGTTTGATCTTTTACTTAAGGTGTTGATTATCACGTGTTAAGATGTTCGAAGCGGTATTTCATTTTTTAAGACGAAGTCTCATCATATGATCTGATATCATATTATGAAAGACAACCGTTGTTATTTTCTAGCCGATAAATTAATTCGAGTTAATAGAATATCCATTTATTTCATTGGTTTATTAAACAAATTATCTTTATTTATGTCATTGATTTATGGAACAATTAATTTTAGTTAACAATATTTATTTCTTTAGTTTATTGACCCCTTATTTCATTCACTGTAGTTAATTAAAGACAACAATAGTAGTATTGTTATGAAAGAAATAATTATCATGATAAAATATTAAATAATAAAAAGTTAACTACGTGTTTTGACGTTGCATCGTCATCTTCAAAAAAAGAATTATTGGAATTAAAGAAATATAAAAAAAGGTCATGTATTATTAAACAGAGATGAAGGTCCGGCGAATATTTATGCAAAAATGTGGGATGACCTTCTCTAAAAAGGACACGCCTGTTTATAGGTCACATGACCTATTTAACAACGACAACAAAAGTCTAATTAAGACATGATTATGTCTTGCAACTCCTTCCTAACGATAATGTTGCAACGTTGAAACATGGAGAGTCAACTTTTCAGTGGACATAGATTGACCTTAATTAAAATGTTTTTAATTGTGTATACCTATTTTTTAACGTTGAATGTTATTTATTATTTTAACATTATACACAAGTGCCAGTAAATAATAACCCTAATGATAATAAATGTTACTGGGTTTAATCACTGTGTTGCCGGATGATAATGATAATTAACATATTAATATTGTCGGATGTTATAATTATAATGATACATGATGCAGTTACAACAATAATACTAATAATTATGATGACGTTATTCATACCTTAACTGTGAAAATTGATTATAAATATAGCACAGACCACTATGTTTGGTTTGTCAGCCGGTTTAATGAACCCCGGTATTGCCCGAAAGGCCTCTTCGGCAATGGCTATAGCAGATGTATCGTGGTTGACGTATTATATTTGCTCTCACTCGTGGGTTTTTAGAATTAATAATAAGATGTCCTTTGATAGATTGTTTAGGAAGAGTATTCATGATGAAACTTTGTTGAATGGACACGTCGTCCTCTACACTTGTGTTTCTACAACAGGCAGTTGCTGTCCATCCAATAAAGTTTCATCAATAATAAGATGGTTTAAGTACTCGTCATAAAAATTTTGATTATCTTAAGGATGATATTAGCGGTAAGCTGAAAACCATAAGAACACATGAAGTTTTATTTCTTCAATCTTTAGCCATACTTCGCCACTACTACCCACCGAAGAAGAAGCACAAATACAATACATCTCGTGGGGGCCTACTGGTAGTCAGTTGGTAAGTTTCGATTAATTAATTCAACCATTTCGTGCTCTGCGAATAAAATATTAAAGCTGTATCTCGTCTAACTGTGGAAGAACATCAATGTGACATCAACTACTAAAACTGCCTCAATTATTCATCTGTGTAGATTCACTTACCAAGTGTTGTTTATAATGATTGTGAAGATTCACTTACCAAGTGTTGTTTATAATGATTGTGAAGATTCACTTACCAAGTGTTGTTTTAATGATAAACTTTCCTTTCTAATTCTG